AGAATTTAATTTCTGCCCTGGGGGTGGAGAAAAAAAAGAGAAGAAAAACAGTGGACAAGATGGAACAAAGTACAGTCCTCATTTGAGGGACACACACTGTAAGGCCTATTACCAGGGAGGAACTGAGTACATGATTTTTGGGACCTACGGGCACATAGCACCCTCAACTCTGTCAATATTCATGGATGGGACAAGTTAGGAACAGTGATTTTTCTCTCTTAGTGAACCCTACTATCAATGTATTTGAGACCAACACTACCAGATATTTGGGGCAGTACTTTATTAGTTGAACAGAATGTAGGTCTGAAGCTCTGTCCCATGTTCTTTACAGTAAGAAGGAATTCTGCACAGTAGAAGAGTTAAGGTAAGCCACCTTGCCTCCATGCAATTGAAAAAGACTGCAACAGTAAAACCCTACCATTGAGGTGATGATTCATTTACACTTAAGCCCAGATTTTGGCTGAGTGAAACTGTTAGCAATTGGTTTGAGGATAGAAGCATTGGTGATCTGATACAATTGTATGTCAGAGCAGTGACCAGGTAGGTTTCCAGGTGCACCAGCCAAATTGACTGGCCTCCCATGTCACACTGGTCCCAGTTATGGAAATATAACCATTTATTAATTGTTATTTGAACCATAATAGTAAATGAGGACTTCATATCAAAGTGCCAAGTGCTCCTATCTAGGCTTAGAGTATGTAAAGAGAATGTCTACGTGAAATTACTAAAAACCAGTGGGTTTTGTTGCTTCAGTGCAACATCCTTGCACAGTTTCTCTGCGAGGGGACTCCCTGTAGGTCCAGGAACTAGCTAAACAACACAGATGCTGGAGCCTTTAACATGTGGCTGGATTAAAGTGATTGTAAACAATTACATATGCTCAGTGAAGTGACCAGCCTCAGGTGATAGGCAGAGGTGAAACAAGTCCTCCTTCAGAAGTTGTACCTGTTTATCTATCCATCTTTCCCCTACATCCATTCAAAGTGCAGAATTTACACAGGATCGCTCAGCTCTTTAAAGCAGGGGAAGCTGAAATAACACTCAGTGAGGAGAGCTCTGTGAGCTGATTGGAAGGAAGGGATACACCCCCCTTCCCATAGCAACAAAGTTGAGTCTGTCAATCATAGGTTGTGCCCTCCCCATCACCATTTTTCTCTTGGTGTCACGAAAACTCATCAGAAGTGATTCATGCTGATAGTGGAGGAACGAGGCAGCAGACAGAAATGATAATTAGTGCTCCTAACTGGGACTACGTACACACTATAGAGGGATATGTTTTGTTCATATTTTCATGTCATAGGTTTACAACATTATATATTAAAAAGACTTACTTTTGCTTTGTGAAACCAAATGAGTACAGACACTGTATGGTCCCTAGAAAAATATTGTTCAGGATCTTTAAACACCATCCACAGTTTAAAATCTGGGTATATGATGTGCTGCTACTCATTAAACATGTGGAAGCAACACTATCCAATGTGTATACATTTTAAGTTCACATACTACTCTAATAAGAGGATAAAGAAAGGCTAGCTTGGCTGTTAGCATGACACTTCAGCTATAGACTTCACTTGGGGAGAGGACACACCTATAGAAGAGACTTTTATAGATGACACAATCTGTTCATGTAGAGGAATATAGAATAAAACAGAGACATACAGTACATGCTGTCTGAAATAATGATGTTTCTGTACATAAAACTACAAGCTTTGTTCAAGATGGTAGATTAAACAGAACACAAATTCAAGTTCTAAGTCCAGATCAAACCTAGTCATTAATATCATGCAGACAAATCAGCTCATATGTCCAGCCTTGCTTGACGTCATGGAATATTGTGTTATTGAGTAAAGCATCAGAGAAGCTTGGAGGCTGCCATTAACACAAGGTGACAGAGTGATTATACAGATGGTGTCTCCTGCAGGAGTCAAATATGATGGATTCAAAATTGAATCAAGTCTGGTTGGTTTGATTTATTTGTTCATTAGCTCTTGAAATTGTTTTTAACTCTTGACATCCCTATTCTGGGTAATGTTAGTTGATTTTTGTAGGATTGAATATGATGGACACAACGCTCTCAATGCTGGCTATGTAACCAAGAAATTGTGTTCTGGGAAGTACATTCTTATAAAAAATGAAAATGCGTGCAGGTAGCATAGCCTATTTGCACAGTACTTTAATTTTACATTCAGGCATTGCTTTGGAACAGGGATCTCCAAACTTTCTAAACAAAGGGCCAGTTTACTATAGAGGGGCCAGACTGATTTACACCAGTAGGACTAAAAAATGCCCCAGCATCAGGGGGGTGTAAACAATGCCTATGGCTTGGCGGTCAGTGGAAGTAAAAAAAATATTAAGTGTGCCCCATCATTAGTGTCAATGGAAGGAATAGTTCCCCATCATTGGTGCAAATGGAAGGAATCACGCCCCAATCATTGGTATCAGTGGGAGGAATAGTGTTCCATCATTTAGATCACTGGGAAGAATAATGTTCCATCATTGGGTGTTAATGGGAGAATTTATGCCCCATTGTTGGTGTCAGTGGAAAGAATGGTTCCTCATCATTGATGTCAGTAGAAGGAATGGTGCCTTGTATCAGTAGGAGGAATAGTTCGCCAAAGGACAGACACATTCAAGCAAAGGGCCGCATCCGGCCCACAATCTGCAGTCTAAATTCCACTGATACAGTAACTAATAGAAGTGAGTACACCCTTCACATTTTTGTAAATATTTTATTATATCCTTTCATGTGATAACACTGAAGAGATTACACTTTACTACAATGTAAAGTAGTGAGTGTACAGCTTATATAGCAGTGTAAATTTGCTGTCCCCTCAAAATGTCTAAACCACTGGCAACAAAAGTGAGTACACCCCTAAGTGAAAATGTCCAAATTGGACCTAATTAGCCATTTTCCCTCCCTGGTGTCATGTGACTCGTTAGTGTTACAAGGTCTCAGGTGTGAATGGAGAGCAGGTGTATTAAATTTGGTGTTATCGCTCTCACTCACTCATACTGATCACTGGAAGTTCAGCATGGCACCTCATGGCAAAGAACTCTCTGAGGATCTGAAAAAAATAATTGTTGCTCTTCATAAAGATGGCCTAGTCCAGTGGTGGGCAACCTTTTTTTTCAACTGAGCCAAATCTCGCCAAAACCACGATTGAAATTTATTTTGAGAGCCACATTTTTAAAACTGAAAATACATCCCCCATATAGTAATTCATCCCCCATATAGTAATTCATCCCCCATAGTAATTCATCCCCCATATAGTAATTCATCCCCCATATAGTAATTCATCCCCCATAGTAATTCATCCCCCATATAGTAATTCATCCCCCATATAGTAATTCATCCCCCATAGTAATTCATCCCCCATATAGTAATTCATCCCCCATATAGTAATTCATCCCCCATAGTAATTCATCCCCCATATAGTAATTCATCCCCCATATAGTAATTCATCCCCCCATAGTAATTCATCCCCCATATAGTAATTCATCCCCCATATAGTAATTCATCCCCATAGTAATTCATCCCCCATATAGTAATTCATCCCTCATAGTAATTCATCCCCCATATAGTAATTCATCCCCCATATAGTAATTCATCCCCCATAGTAATTCATCCCCCATATAGTAATTCATCCCCCATATAGTAATTCATCCCCCATAGTAATTCATCCCCCCTATAGTAATTCATCCCCCATAGTAATTCATCATCCCCCATATAGTAATTCATCCCCCATAGTAATTCATCCCCCATATAGTAATTCATCCCCCATATAATTCATCCCCCATATAGTAATTCATCCCCCCTATAGTAATTCATCCCCCATATTGTGTCAATTCACTTACCTTTGCTCCACGCGTTCTTCTCGCCGTGTTCCCGCGCCGTTCTGGTCTTCAGGGCGGACTGTGAGAGGAGAGGAGTTCGTCACGCTGCCCCGCCTACATCCTGGCTGCCCCGCCTACATCCTGACAGCTGCAGAGTCCTGACTTTTGGGGCGGCCGTCCGAGAGGAGGGAGGGGGGCAGCCGCCCGAGAGGAGAGAGGGGGGCGGCCACCCGAGAGGAGGGAGGGGAGCGGGCGCCCGGCACACAGAAGAGCCGCATTTAAGTTTGTAAAGAGCTGCATGTGGCTCGCGAGCCGCGGCTTGCCGACCACTGGCCTAGTCTATAAGAAGATTTCCAAGACCCTGAAACTGAGCTGCAGCATGGTGGCCAAGACCATACAGTGGTTTAACAGGACAAGTTCCACTCAGAACAGGCCTCACCAGGGTCGACCAAAGAAGTTGAGTGCATGTGCTCAGCGTCATTTCCAGAGGTTGTCTTTGGGAAATAGACGTATGAGTGCTGCCAGCATTGCTACAGAGGTTGAAGGGGTTGGGGGTCAGCCTGTCAGTCCTCAGACCATACGCCACACACTGCATCAAATTGGTCTGCATGGCTGTCATCCAAGAAGGAAGCCTCTTCTAAAGATGATGCACAAGAAAGCCCGCAAATAGTTTGCTGAAGACAAGCAGACTAAGGACATCAATTACTGGAACCATGTCCTGTGGTCTGATGAAACCAAGATAAACTGATTTGGTTCAGATGGTGTCAAGCGTGTGTGGTGGCAACCAGGTAGGAGGAGTACAAAGACAAGTGTGTCTTGCCTACAGTAAAGCTTGGTGGTGGGAGTGTCATGATCTGGGGCTGCATGAGTGCTGCTAACACTGGGGAGCTACAGTTCATTGAGGGAACCATGATTGCCAACACGTACTGTGACATACTGAAGCAGAGCATGATCCCCTCCCTTCGGAGACTGGGCCGCAGGGCAGTATTCCAACATGATAACGTCCCCAAACACACCTCCAAGATAACATAGAGAAAAAATGAACAAATCGGCGCTGGTAGAGGACCAAACATATAAAATTCTAAATATGGTAGATGGTCAATGTGGGGTACAAAAAGGTACAAGAGGTCTGTAGAAGAAGACGGCTCCATCCCCGTTCATCCTGAACATATCGGCATGGATGTCACTCCACTTCCTCAAACTCAATCTTTCCAAAACTGAACTCTTAGTATTCCCTCCAGCCCGTGCCTCCTCTCCTAACTTCTCCATCAAAATCAATAACACAATCATCAGTCCCTCCCCTCATGCCAGGATGCTAGGTGCAGGGGCAGACTGACAACTCATGGGGCCCCCAGGCAATAGGGGATCATGGGGCCCCTGTGTCCTTGCCCAAACTCAAAAAAGCCTATGAAAAAGGTACCAGGGGAATCTCATGGGGCCCCCTGCTGACCCCGGGCCCTCGGGAAGTGCCCGAGTTTCCAAATGGTCAGTCCGCCCCTGGCTAGGTGTAACCCTAGACTCCCATCTGTCCTTTCAGCCCCAAATCCAATCGCTGTCCAAATCTTGTAGACTTCACCTCCGCAACATGTCCAAGATACAGCCGTTCTTAACCTCGGAAACCACTAAGCAACTTATTCACTCCCTTGTTATATCCCGCCTTGACTATTGAAACTCCCTCCTCATTGGCCTACCTCATCGCAGGCTATCCCCAATTAAGTCTATCATGAATGCTGCTGCCAGACTCATCCATCTTATTAACCGTTCTGTATCAGCCACCCCTCTCTGCCAATCCCTCCACTGGCTTCCCATTGCCCAACGGATAAAATTCAAAACATTAACAATAACGTATAAAGTCATTTATAACTCTGCCCCAAATTACATCACCAATCTTGTCTCGAAATATCACCCAAACCGTACTCTCCGCTCCTCACAAGACCTCCTGCTCTCTAGCTCCCTTGTCTCCTCCTCCCATGCTTGTCTCCAGGACTTCTCCAGAGCTTCCCCCATCCTCTGGAACTCTCTACCCCAATTTATCAGACTATCACCTACTCTGCTCACTTTTAGGCGATCTCTGAAAACCTATCTCTTCAGGGAAGCCTATCCTGCCCTCAGCTAATAATGGAATCTTCTATTCTTCCTACCAGTCCATCCCCCACAGTTATTACCTTTTGTACCACTAACCCCTCCCTTCTAGATTGTAAGCTCCAAGGAGCAGGAAACTCCTAACCCTCTTGTATTGAACTGTATTGTTGCTGTATTGTCTTTATATTGTAAAGCGCTGAGCAAACTGTTGGCACTATATAAATCCTGTATAATAATAATAATAATAATGATAATCCTGAATGACCAAGACCCATCTACACACCGCTGATGGACTAACGGCTTCCCAAAGGATTACTTTACCATGCTTTCTTACTCCTCATGTTTGTGAGTAGTTTTTACACCCTACTGTATGTTATTAATAAAATAATAACCCTCTACACTTAGATTGGTACAAGCTGTACACTCACTACATTACATTGTAGCAAAGTGGCATTTCTTCAGTGTAGTCACATGAAAAGATAGAATAAAAAATTTACAAAAATGTGAGGAGTGAACTCACTTCCGTGAGATACTGTATATAACATAAAAAAGGTTCCAGGTACAAGAAATACTTATTGTGTATTCTTAATTATTGTGCATCTAAACCCAAGAACCAAACTTTAAAGATTGACTCTAACCATACCTTCAGCCTTGCACAGTCATATAGGTTCCTCTCCCATACTGAAATTACTTACTCTGATATTACTGCATTGAGTATGCATTAGAAGATGCAGCAAATCAGATAGAGCCTGCCTCATTTCCTGGCTGGAGGACATCCATTATCAGCTGCCTCCCCAGCCTTACTGGTATGTAAAGAAAATGGAAAGATTATATTTAAAAATGGAATTAGCATGTTGAAAAGGGGGTAAAAGGAACTGGGGAAGGCAAATTATATGCAGATTAAACTTCAGCTTTGAAGTGGTGGCTGCATATGGTTTCTTTTTTCAGTTTTGTTATCCTTTTTTCTTTTTCCTGGTGAACACACTTCCTATGCTAGAGTGAGATCGCTCACTCACCTTACTGTATCTGTGGAGGAGCATTGATGTCGCCTAAAGAAGTGTGTCAGGACTACAGAACACCTCATCCTCACCTCATTTCATAACATAAAGGATAGGTGTATTGTAGCCCAGAAAGGGAACTGGGAACAATGCTGACTGATAACAGTACAGCAAAGAGTGCAGGATTTTATCAGCTCAATAGATTTGTGCCAGGATCAACAGATTTATTTTTGCACTTAACATGGTATATTCATTTAATTGTTTCAATTGCATATTTAACAAACAAAAAGGGGCCAAAATAAAATAGGTTTATTGTTACAGATTACATACACTTAAACTTAAAAGGGAAAGTGAAGTGTATTTTTATAAGCACATATTTTAAACTATTTTACACCATTTACTTTAAAAAAATTTTATGGTACTTTCACGTTTTTTTATACTTGCTCTTTCTTATTTTTGAGATTGTATTAAATGTGGAGATTTGTATATTAGCATCTAGAGTGAGGGCAACCTAGCTATTAAAAAACAATAACTGCTTAAAGCTGACCATATTACATCAGTTCCCCCTCCTCCATACCTAAACACCCCAATGAAGTGTAAAAAAAAGCATGAAGAAAAAAGTTAAAAAAAAAAAAATATGCTTACCTTACACCTCAGCTTCCACAGTGGAGAGGGTGACATTGTTCCAAGGTAACTCTAATCTGATATATAATGGATGTGATAAACATTTTAGTACCAATGTTTTACATAAATCTTTCTAAATAACAGAGAAACCAAGAACCCTGCAGTGGGTATGTTTTAGAATCAGAAGCAGGAGTTCTTATATTACCAAAGTGAATGGGGTGGACTGATGTCCTAAAGTAGTGGTCTCCAAACTGCGGCCTGGGACCAGATAAACTTGGGGTACTACTTTCATCCACTGCTACCAACAAAGGGGCATAATTCCCCCCAATGACATCAATGATGGGGCACAACTCCTTCCAATGACATCAATGAAAGGGCACAATTCCTCCCAATGACACCAGTAATGGGCCCAATAATTACATAGTTACATAGTTAGTCTGGCTGAAAAAATACAAAAGTCCATCCAGTTCAACCATAAAAAAAAAAGAGTTATAATCCTATACCCACAGTTGATCCAGAGGAAGGCAAAAAAAAACACAGCAAAGCATGATCCAATTTGATCCTGCTGGGAAAAAAAGTCCTTCCTGATCCCACGAGAGGCAATCGAATATTCCCTGGATTAACTTTACCTATAAATGTTAGTATCCAGTTATATTCTGCGTATCTAAGAAACAATCCAGGCCTTTTTTTAAGCAATCCACTGAGCTGGCCAGAACCAACTCTTGAGGGAGTCTATTCCACATTTTCACAGCTCTCACTGTGAAGAAACCTTTCCGTGTTTGGATATTAAATTTATTTTCCTCCAGACGTAAAGAGTACCCCCTTGTCCTCTGTGATGATCTCAGGGTGAATAGCTCTACACCGAGTTCACTATATGAATCACTGATGTATTTATACATGTTGAACATATCCCCCCTTAATCTCTTCTCAAGAGACAATAAATTCAGTTCCTCTACTGTAATCTTTCCTCATAGCTGAGCTCCTCCATGCCTCGTATCAGTTTGGTTGCCTTTCTCTGTACTTTCTCCAGTTCCCCAATGTTCTTTTTGTGAATTGGTGCCCAAAACTGAACTGCATATTCCAGATGAGGTGTTACTAATGATTTGTACCGGGGTAAATATGATATCTCTCTCTCTGGAGTCTATACTTCTTTTAATACAAGAGAGGATTTTGCTTGCTTTAGAAACCGCAGCTTGGCATTGCATGCCATTATTAAGCTTGTGATCTACCACAGCTCTCAGATCCTTCTCCACCATTGATTCCCCCAGTTGTACCCCCCTAGTATGTATGATGCATGCATATCCTTAGCCCCCAAGTGCATAACCTTACATAACCTTAATAACACCAATGATGGGGCACATTTCCTATCAATCACACCAATGATGGTGCATAATTCCTCCCACTGACACCAAAGATGGGCCGTTGTTTATTCCCACTGACGTCGGGACCTTTTCTTCTCCGAACAGCCACAGTCCGCCCCCCTCCCCTTTCTGAAGGACAGTAAACCGGCCCTTTGTTTATAAACTGTAGAGACCCCTGATCTACACTATTCAGTTTGTCCAGCAAGCAGCACTGGATACCAATGCTCCTGTATGCAGGCCTCATGTTGTTCAACACACCCTGATCAAAAAACATTATTTTTAATGTTATACATCAATAATTTAAAATATTGCACCATAAAATTGAGACAGTAAAATAAGTGGTGCTTTTGTCAGATAGCGTTAATCTTCAGGATTACTTTTGCTCATTTCAAAGAGCATTAGACAGCCATTTTAGTGGTTATGCCGAGCAAACAGGACTAATTAGTGCAGAGGTTTTTTGATGGAATAATAATGGGATATGTCAGTTTCAGAGCATTTTATTGACTTTTTTTTACTGGCAAATACTTGCTGATGAACAGAATTACACACTTTAAGTGCAAGAAATGTGTCTGAGAAGTAAGGCAGCAGATCTTATCATACATGAAGTTTGTCTGTTAAAGAAAAACTCCAGTAAAAAAATGTTGTTACTTGACACAATACAGTTTCAGAAAAACTTTTTCAAAGCATTTTTGGGAATTAACGTTTTAATGATTACAGGGCTAGATTTATCATAAGGTTCCTGTGGGGCTGCACTTAAGCCAACAGCCACACCAGATTGCCGGAGGTATGACAGGTCTCGACCAAAGATGGGATCTGTCCAATTTTTCAAGTTAACAAGTGGGCGATTGGTTGCTACGGTGCAATCACCCACTGGTTAACAGGAAAAATTGTTAAGCTCCTGTCCTTCATCCAGACCTGTTGTACCTCCTACCCTCTGTCCTGTTAAGGTAGGACTGGGAAGAGGGGTATGATTTAAAGGAGGGGACTGAGGACACTGATGTCCTCAGTAAAGGAAGGCAATGTGATGTAAGGAGGGGGGGGCGCTGGAATGTAAAGGGGGTGGTGTGTGGTGAAGAGGGAGGGTGTAATGTAAAGGAGGCACTGTGAAGTAAAAGGGGACCACAATGTACATGGGGGCACTGAAATGTAAAGGAGGGGAGCTGTAATATAAAGGGGGGCACCGTGATGTAAGTGGGAGGCTGTGATGTAAATGGAGTGGGGTGTGATGTATGGGGAGGGCAGTGATGTAAAGGGAGTGTGCTGTGAAGTAAAGGGCACCACTGCAATGTAAAGGGAGGGCTGTGATGTGACGAGGCGGTGATATAAAAAGGGACAATGTGAAGTTAAGGGGAAGAATGTGATGTAAGGGGGATGCTGTGATGTAAAGGAGGCTGTGATGTAAGTTAGAGGGCTGTGATTTCAAGGGGGTGCTGTGAAGTAAAGGGGAGAACTGCAATGTAAAGGGGAGCACTGTGAAGTAAATGGGGGGCTATGAAGTAAAGGGGTGTGCTGTGATATAAAGGAGGGGGCGGTGATGTAAAACA